AAGGTGCAGACGTTGTTACAGACTAAAGTATCTCAACTATGACAAATGATACCAGAGTATTTTGTAAAGAGGAGAAATCCTATTAACTTTGGTGCTTTATGTATTTGTCTTTTATTCATTCTGCAAAATGGACTTCAAATTAGCCCGGGCCTGTTGAGCGCTACACATTTCCTGCTGACCATTAAACACAACACAGGGCTGTTTATGGTGTTGAACATGATAGAATAGATGTTTATTGCCATTTGTACAGGTACATTGGAATTTTTGTGCATTTCTCACTGAGTCAGCTTCTACAAACAAAAGTAAAATTATATATAACATATAATAGCATTATAAGAAAAGAGTAGAAATACAAAGGGGAACACTGTACAATGAAATGAAAATATAAATGTGTTCTTGTTTCTACATCTCTTATTACACCTGAGGTTATTGCACACATATTTTTCACATTATATAATTGCACTGTTTTTTGTTTTTAAGGTTAATATTGAACACTTGTATTGATACTCGTTACTTGTTCTTGGGCTTTATTAGGACAGCTGATGAGAGACAGGAAGTCTTGGGAGAGAGAGAGAGAGAGAGGGCGATGACATGCAGCATAGGGTCGAGGTCGGATTCACCTCTGTACATTGGGCGTGCAACATAACCACTAGGCCATCTGCGCTCTGCTAGGATTTTATTGCAGCGTGACCCTTCATGTATGTTTTCTTTCTCTTTTCAGCTGGCAGGTACTGGAGTGCTCGCTGTGGGTCTCTGGCTGCGTTTTGACACCAGGACAGCGGGACTATTTGAAGGCGATGGCGCGCCTACAGTCTTCTTCACTGGTGAGGGGTTTAGACACAAAATGTTTACACATCATTTTTCTGTTGATGCATCAAATAAACTGTGTGAATATCCTGACGGGGGAAAGAGTCTAGTTGTTTCATGTCCTGGACCTGATTATACTTTGGTACTTCAGATTTGACCGTGTGGATCAGAGACATTAGCGCAACCTAAATTTGAGAGAGACGGTCTGCGGGGCGTTCAGGGGGCAGCTGAGGCCAGAGTCGGTCCACAGCGAGGCGGCTCCTCGGCCTGGCGGAGCCGTCCGAACACAGATCTCATTCTTCAGTGCTTCACAGGGCCGCCTTTGTCTCTCCAGTTTGTGTATTCTCGTTGGGGTGGGGGGGGAGATGGACTGACCCCTCCCTCCTCTCTCTTTGTGTTTCTTCTTCCATCAAACTGATAATTGAAGTGGATGGATTTGAAATGACAAACATGTTAATAACAGCCTGGGAGGAGGAAGAAGCTGGAGGAGGAATATTTGTGACTGTACAGTGACATCAGTGCTGCGGTTCTTGTTATCCTACAAGTCACAGGGTTATGACTCATTGTTGTGACAGCCACATCAGAGGACAGAAATGTCGTTTGTACAGAGGCCTGTCAGACGGATCATTAAGTGGTGCGTTTGGAAATCGGTGTTGCAATGTTTCACAGGGATTTACGACTTTCTGAGGAGATTTTTCACTCCAATACAAATCAAGAGGGAATTACAGAAACACCCATGTTTGAGTTTTGTCCTCTTTACAAACTGTACGCAAATCAGAAGAACAGTCTGTGTACTGAGGGTTTGATGTACTTCATGATATTACAAGTATAACTTTTAATGTGCACGTTGTGTAAAAGGTCTTTTTTTGTTTTTAATCGCTTCTCCGTTTCAAGCCTGGAATATTCTACACTTTTTACTGTATCCTCCTCTCACAGCAGTTCTCTTAAACTTACATTTACTCTTCTATACATTTTAGTGTTTCTCAGTATACTGGTGAAATACTAGGTGCTGTCATTGCATGCATTACCGGAAAGCATTTCAACAGTCACACACTATTGACCTGCTAAACGTTCCTCTAACGCTCCAACAATCTGTCTGGTGTCTCCTTTGTCATATCTGTAATTTTCAACAAGTTTACGCAGCCTAGAAAAAAATACCATATCACTGAAGTGCTTGTTTTTCAGCGTCTTGTGGTCGACTGTGCGAGCCTCTGATCATCACAGTCCCTCACATGTGTTTCCATGTTGCTCTGCAGGTGTGTACATCCTGATCGCGGCGGGGGCTCTGATGATGGTCGTCGGCTTCCTGGGATGCTGCGGGGCGATTAAGGAGTCGCCGTGCATGCTGGGATTGGTGAGTGACACTTTGTAACTCTGACAGAAAAATTCTGCTTTCAAATGATACTAGAAAGTAACTGACTTTGCTTTCTGTAGTTCTTCCTCTTCCTGCTCCTCATCTTCGCAGTGGAGGTGGCTGCTGGGATCTGGGGACTCTCCAACAAGGACAGGGTAAGAACAGCAGTATTTTTTTTTTTTTTTTTTGCAGTTTAAAGGCTTTATATTTGATTTTTCACACTTAAATGTATAAATCAAGTATCTCCTCTGAAAATAACTCTGTGAGTCATGACTGTCTACAATGGGTGTAACACCCGAGTCCCACTGTCTGTGATGTTTTCAGAGTTTTCAGAGTCCTATCTTCACTTTGTTTACATCGCCAGGATGGCCGGCTGACTCCTCCCCTCGTGTATAAAAGTTGTTTAATTGAGGGACTAGAGAAAAGAAGAATAACATACTGTACTCACTGCTTAACTGTGTTTCTAGATCACGCTCATTTCAGATAAATTTACATGCAGTGTGAAGATACCAGCATAATAAAGATCGCTAGCATTAGCATGCTAACACAACAATGCAGCACGAGTTGTTTTGTTTTCATGCTGGTGCTCAAGGGCGACATCTGCTGGATCAAAAAATCACATATAAAGCCTTGAAGATGTTTTTGCTGGCAAAGATCTTTTTAGCTCGTCGTCATCTCACCTTGGTCAAATATTTAACTAATGAAATGAACACTGGCTGACAGAGGAGACATGGAAACAGTAATCTAAACATGATTTGTTTGTTTTCCGTCGTCAGGTGGTGGAGGACGTTACAGAGTTCTACAAACAGACCTACGACAACTATAAAAACACCAAACAGGAAGCACTGAAGGAGACTCTGCGGCTCATCCACTTTGGGGTAAGAACACTCACCTCCCCACCTTTTTTTTTTTATTTGTGACGGATTTTTTTGTGCCACTAGCTTCAAACACGACTTCACAATCCACAATGTCCCATGTAGGCTTTAGGTCCTCAGGAGCGGACAACCTGGGTTCAAATCCGACCTGTGGCTCCCTCCTCTCTCTCTCTGTCTGTCTCTCTCTCTAGTAAGAGATTGTTTTGTAAGAGCCGTGTTGTTTTTCCTCCTCGCAGATGGACTGCTGCGGTCCAACGGGGACGGTGATCGATGCCGCCAAAGACATCTGCCCCAAGAAGGACGGACTGGAGGTCCTCATTACCACGGTAACAACAAAGAGTCACAGTCTCATTCTCAGAGGGTCTTGAGTCTCGGTGGTTGTTAAACCAGTTTTTTGTCCTTTCAGAGCTGTCCGGCTGCCATTGACGAGATCTTCAACAACAAACTGCACATCATCGGCGGGGTCGGCATCGGTATCGGCGTCATCATGGTGAGTTTGTGATGACATCATAACTCCGCACAAAACCTAAACAATGAAAACTGTAGACACTAAAGACTCCTTTTTGGAAACTTGAATCTGTCTTTTATAAAAGATGATTCAACCACATAAATAAAAATAATCGTTGTGGGACGACACAGTCCATGGTGGCTTGGCGTCAGAGGCGTCAGGTGGTAGAAGTGCCAGATCACCTTGATATTTAAACCTTAACTCCTGCACATTGTCTTTATTGCACAAATGCATTTCCTGCTCTTTCCATTGTCTTCTCTGCTCCTCCCATTTCCTCTCTATATTGTAGTTTTTTTTCTTTGGCTCCTTTTCTCTCTCTACTTTCCTTCTCTCTCAAGCAAACAATCCCAACATGTAACTTTAGGAAGCTGTTTGATGCACTTTCTCACCCCCTCCCCTCTCTCTCTGTCTCCTCCTCCTCCTCACAGATCTTCGGGATGATCTTCAGCATGATGCTCTGCTGCGCCATCAAGCGGTCCAGAGACTTTGTCTGATCTGCCACAAAAATCACACACAAACGCTCCCCGTCCTCCGTGTTTAACTTATGTGTGCCCACGTTTACCGACCTCCGCTTTTAGAGTTATCAGTTCAATGATAATAATCGGTTAGTTTATCGCTCCGTTCGGATCCATGCAGGAGGCAACACTGACCTGTGAGCGTGTGGAACCTCAGCACAGACCTTTCTTAATCTCTCTGCAGGCTGAACACAGAGGGGTTTTTTTTTTTAGTTGGTTTTTGTTTTGCAATCTCTTTTGAATCACATCAAAACACAGAGGAGGAGAATCGTCTGCAGGAGAAAGAAACGTATGACTCTGCCGCCCCCTAGAGGACTCTGCAGGTCACTGCTATAACCCTCTGTAGTCGGCTCTTTAGTTCAGATTCTGTTTTAACGTTAGCTGTCATCTAACAAGAGTGTTTCAGATAAATAGATTTTTTTACCAAGTAACTCGTTTTGGTTTTAATTTTTGCTCGTTCCTGATGTTGCACGTTTAAAACCTTTTTTTATAAATATATATATAAAAGCAGAACTATGGAGTTTTATGCAAATATTTTGATGAATGCAGCTCAAATGTATCTTTGAAATGACAAATAAATGAACTAATGGTAAAAACGGATTCTTGTGTTGAATTGAGTTTTTAAACTTCTTAAAAGAGGAGGGACTGTTGGGACTTCCCTGATGGATCATAATAACTAAAATGATGTCTCTTCATGTTTATTATAGGTGGTAGTTAACAACCCCAGAGAGATTTTTACAAGTATGCCTTCAATTAAACAATTTCCCCAAGTAAAGCTCTAGAAACCTGAACCACCCGTTTGTTTTTGAAGCCATGCCAGAAGTCAGTCTGTCACTTTTTCATGAGGTGAAACACAATTTAAAGTATTTTAATTCCTTCACATAATCAGTTGATGATCTTCCATAGAAAGCTGTTGTATACGTTGTGATTGAAAATGCAGAGAGGATACACAGTCATTTATTCCATGAAACAAATGAAATAGAAACAGAAACACATGGCTTTCACAATCCTAAAGTCGTGGTGAGGTTTGACTCCTCCAGTGGAAGGCGGGGGGGTTCGTCCCCCCCCCTCAGTCTTTGTCACTGCTTGTTGTCAAACTGAGTGTTTACTCAAAGTTTCATCTGTAAACAAAGACACCGCTGCAGAACAAGGAAACAGAATGCAGCACGAGTCGAGAATTTAACAAACAGAAGAGACGACTTCAGACGTCTGCAGCAAGTTTGACGCTTTCCTCCATCGACACAAATCATAAAATTATTAATTAAAGCAAAGAGTGAAATCAGAGTTTGAAAAGTGAAGCCTTCAATCTGCCTTCAACAGAAGTCTATGAAAAGTGACCGTCCTCCCAACATGATTTGTCACCTCTGAACATTTTCAGTTTTTCATCCCAACCTCAAGTTTCAAGTCTCTTCAAAGCAGTATTTAGGTTTAAGGGGTCTGGTCTTACTTTTAGAGACCAAACCTGACACCACGTTGGAGGTTTGATTTCAGCAATCTTTGGTGAAAACGTATTAAAAATAGTAATAAAAGACGCGATCATCTTTGGGTTGATCAAAAGAAAATTAATAAGTTTTTTGATAATGGAATAAACTTCCAACATTTATGATAGTTACTGAAGAGTCTTCAGGTTCTGGATAGATGTTTTTTTACACTGTTTTGACTTAATCATAAATAGATCGATCATAATGAAGTAAAGATTCAGTTGCAGCTCTGAACAACGGCAGAAAATCAACTCATAACTCGTTGAAGCTACAAAGACAAAGCCGCTGTAGTGTAAATATTTGCTGCTTTTCTTTGTCTTCTCTTCCAGTAAATTGACGTTTCAGGGGTTTTCAACTCGTGTTCAGGACGAAACAAACATTTAAAATAGCATTTTAAACTCTGGGAGCATTTTTCTTCTTCTTCCCGATTCCTGAAATGATTTCCTTAAAATTCAAAATTGCTCAGTTGCCGTTTTCAGACTCCAATAGTTTAAAAGACTCATTGAATTTTGGTCAAAGGTGCATTTGGAAACCAGCTTTTTTAAATTTAAATTGCATATTTATTTAGGGGTCTTAACCAGCGACAAAGACCTACGAGTTATTTAATCTTTAACACACTGATCAGTCAGAGTTAAACACGCCTGAACACTAAACACTTTCATGATTATTGTTTTCATTTATGATTAAAAAAAAAACTAACTTAAAGCTACAGACGCAGAATGATTAGTGCAAAATTTAAATGGCAGACACATCAGTGTGAAGCTAGAAATATGAAGAACTTGATATAGAAATATGAAGATAGATGCTTTTGATGTAGAAATGTGAAGATAGATGCTTGTGATATAGAAATATGAAGATAGATGCTTGTGATATAGAAATGTGAAGATCTGCTGTACTGTAAAGCCATGTGAATTGTTTCCATTCATTCTCATTGGTGCAGCTGGCCTGAGCGTGTGTGTTTATGTGTGTCAGTGCGTGTATGGCTTACACAACAGTTAGTGAATGCTTAGTGAAAGAATTGGCAGTCAGTCTCTAATAAAAAAAAAAAAAAGAATCCTCTTAGAGAGACTCGGTTTGGAAACTTCATTAATTCAAACCCTGATAATCAGATAAGCTAGAAAACGCAGGAAAAGAAGCGAAGAAGACGTACAAACTTTTGCATATATTTCTTCCCCCACGGAGCTCTGATGCTGCTTGTGCTACTGCTGTGTTAGCTCGCTTGTGCTACAGTCTACAGTACTGACAGGAAGGGGGGGTCCGACATCAAACCCCCCTCGTCCTTTGTCACTCAGTGTGTTTATGTGCTGACAATCTCCACCCTGGTTAAAGGAAAAATCCACCTCGGTAAAATCAGTTAAAAAACAACAACTATTGTCTTTTCTGTGATGTGTGCAGCAGATTAAATATTCAGTTTGATAACAGGAAAGTGTTTGATTTATGTGTTTTCTCTGGCTCACTGACCCTGAATTCACCGGTAGCAGGCAGCAGATTTTCAGGAGGAATGATTGTGAAGTCATTGTCATGAATTTGATCTTTTTAAAAAAATTTAAAAAAAGTTAAAGGATGAAATGAGACACAGGTCATGTCTGCATTATTTGGCATGATTTAGATTTTTATGTAGCATGACAATAAGCCTCTGCAATGAATGAAAGCACCAGTTTGGCCCCTTTTTTCCTGGCAGTTTTTTGGAGACGAGCATAAATTCCGAACAACACAATATTAAACAGTTTAAATAAACATTATAAAAGGGCAGATTTTTCCTTTAACTGTTGCATAATCATATCAGACCCATTTCTTTTCAGTTTAAGTGCTTGTTTTGTGAAAGACTGTGAATGTTCGATGTGCTTGTAAACACACCTGCTTCACCTGAAAGTTCATCCTTCAGCTGTGAGTCTCCTCTTCAATCTCCCATGTTTGTGTGCAGAGCTTCACATCTCAGCTCCCACCGTTTTCCTTCCACCTGAACCAGAAAGATTCACTGGTTTTTGGTCCGAGATCTTTTTTTTTGTAGTTTGTTTCATTTTGCTTGTTCACACTTAACGAGTGTTGAGTTTCCTTCACTCTGCGTGCGTCTGTCCTTCCACGCAGTCCTTCTATGAATGTGTCTGTCAAGGCCATGTCTTCCCTTCTTCCTCCTCCGTTTTCCTCGTCTCCGTCTTTACCTGACGTCGTGGAAGTACAGGTTGGCACATAGACACAGCAGCACGATGGACGCCAGCATGAAGTAGATCAGATTCCTGAATTTAGGCTCCAGATCGCCCTGCCTGTACCAGAAGATCTAAGAGAGGAAAAGACAGAGAGTAAAGATCCTTGTTTTTAGGATTTTAACATAATTTTCAGATCAAAATTGATTTTCATTTGGCTACCAAATTAACCTTTATTTTAAAATAATTAACTGACTTAAAATCGTCTCAAAACAACGGAAAACATTTATTTATGTCTTCACAACTAAACAGATGCAATAAATCGTCTTTTTTCTGAAATATATTCTTTCATTTTTGAAATGTTAGGCAATCTTGACACTATAAAATACTTATTGGAAGCAAATATTGAAAAGCTAAAAGTTATTTCCCTCAACAAAATTAACTGTTTAATATCAACAGTCATTTAATGGCTTAATTGTTCCAACAATGACCGTCACTCCTCCTCTCCCTCAGGCTTTTTTAAATGAGTGAACTAGAGGAAGTTTGATATTTTTAAGCATTCTTGCGAGTAAAACTAAGTCACTGTTTGTAACTATTACCAGCACTAAGTTGGATCCGCAGGCTAACAGGATGCAGACGGCGAAGAAGACATTAAGTGGTCGTGGAGGCAGCGAGGGGAACACAAACGAACTGATGACAGTCACCTGTGAGACACAACAGAAAGACAACGTTATGGACACGTTCAATTTAAAACAAAATACAAAATCATTCAAGAGTCCCAAGAAGAATTTACTCCCTCTATGTGTCTTTTAAAGTCACTCATTATCCTCTAATGTGGATGTAGTTCACATTTTCTTTTTTCATAATAACCAGGATTAAAGGTTCAGTAAATAACCAGGACAAACATAAAGAACAACCTCAGAGCTTCTTTAAACATGATAAACCACGTTTGTGTATCACGGTTAGAAGGAGCTCATGTTAAGATAAGACGACGATCTAAAGTAGAAATTCAGGAAACAGAGAACAGAGTTCAGAAAGTCTTTTCACTTTGGAGAAGTTGATGTAAGAACACATGAGTCACTGTTTTAACCACAATCTCTGAAGTGTGGATTTTTCATGGACTGGGAAAGTGATTTCAAACTCAAGCGTCTCATGGAGTCACATTTACGCCTTTCACAGACCCTTCAATGTCGACTAACCGATGTTGTGAAGTTGTAACGTTTGATTTGAAATGTAAAAACATCTGAAAATGTATTCTACGCGGGGCCTTTATGTGTTAAAGCAAATATGCACGATTGGCAGCGTAGAGACTTCCTGCTTTGCTCTGTGCTTTAAGACGTTTAATATCAGCCTGTTGAGAGTTTTAATTGATCTAAAGGCCAAACGTCAGATCAGTTCTGATCATTAGGGACCGTAAAGGATCTCTACACACCCTGATGTACGATTACAGTGGAAACGCATTCCAAGAAAAACATGTGTTTTTCTGAGCGCCGGCGTCTTTTTATAATTGTTTTCAATGAGGAGAGAGCGTTCACAGCAGCAGGCAGCCAACGTCGTTTTAGTGCAGCCACTCAATCAATTAAATATAGAAAAATATAATATTCAGAATCAGAATCGGGTTTTATTGCCAACTACATTTACACATACAAGGAATTTGACTTGGTGTATTGGTGCTGAACAATTAACAAGGAAATAAAGCAGAACTAGCAACAACTTAAATAATACAGAATAAGAAGACATTCCCTGTAGTTTTGCCGTCTACAGATCGTATCTTGTACCCACGTCCTCTTTGCTCCGTATCTGATCAGGAAATAAATCTCAAATATGAAACGTGCAGGAAAAAGTAACGGAGCCGTGTCGGTCGTACAGCGGCTGTTGTCATAGAGACAGGATGGACGTGCAGCGCTTTTCAAATGCTTCATGCGAACACTCCTGCCAGCACTTTTCTTCCCTGAAAAAACACAAGGTGGACACGGGGCCTTATACAACAGATTTTACGATATACTTTATTTAAATATTTCAAATTTTCTGCTAACTTTATTTCCATTCTACGACCTTCCAGCTGTCACTTTTTTTTTAAGATTTATGGATTTATTTTGGGCATTTTGGGCCTTTATTAGAGAGATAGGACAGTTGATAGAGTCTGAAATCAGGAGAGACAGAGTAGGGAATGACATGCGGGAAAGGAGCCACAGGTCGGATTCAAACCCGGGCCGCCCGCTTGGAGGAGTACAGCCTCCATACATGGGGCGCGCGCTCTAAACACTGCACCCCCTTCCAGCTGTCACTTTGATACAAACATAGGAGAAATCATTTGAAAAGAAACTTTGTAGAAAGAAAACATTTATGACAGAACAACATGATGTCACCGAGAGCAGATTTCATTTTTTGTTCCTGATTTCACTAATTCAGGAAGCATCTGGAAAAAGGATGACAGTAATTCCTTCATTTGAGTCACATCCACATTTACAGTTTACAGTAAGTAGTAAACGGATGTTATGATGCCTCGTTATGAAGTTGCCATCCCGAAAGGAAGGACGATGTGTTTCAATATGATACACATGATGTTTTAGTTTGACACTTCCGCTGCATTTGTGTGTACGTTGCATTTTACTGCTGAAGATTTGTACTTACTAAAACAACCAGAGACGTGAATCCCCCCACTGCCATGTTGATGATTCGATCCTGCAGGAAAGACAATTCAACACATCAGTTCATACAAATCAACATGGCTCCAGAGCAAAACTATAAATGTCTCCTTCTAACATATCTGATGTTTTGAATGGATCGTATTTCTCTGTGTTTTAAAGCTGTGCTGTTGCCTGAAACAAACACTGAGAGCCACAGAAAGAAAAACACATTGTTGGTGTTTTGATGGGTTTTGTCGACTTGAAGCAGCGTCCTTGTGCTTCACACCCGTCAGAAGATAAAAATAAAGACCATATAAGGAGGAAATGAATGGACCAATCCAAAGTATTCACAGTATATGTTAATGTTATTTAAATGTTTGACTTCTAACAGTGCAAACAACTGTGTGCATGATGATAGTTTGACTGCAGGCACAAAGCACACTTCCTCCAGGCTCCTACCCGTGCCGAGGTCTCCCCGAACAGAGGTCTGTTGTCCATGCCGCTGGTGCCGTAAGTCCTGGTGGTGAAGTCATCCATGGCCCGAGACAGCAGCTACACTCTCAGCCCCCGTCCGCTCTCCTCTCAGCAGCGCCGCCTCTTGGAAACACAGGGCAACTGCTGCATGCTAGCTGGCTAGCTGGTTGGCTAGCCTCCAGCTGCCTCCCTCCTGTTTGCACGGCGCCGGGGAAGCAGTCAGTGTCAACAGGCTGATGGAGACATGATGGAAGGTGACTCTGCTGGCCTGGTGGGTTTGTTAGCTTACCTAAAAAAGAGAAAAATGACACGTTGTAACCCTAATGCTCCGTAAGGTGACAAATAAAAAGCTGTGTTGGTAAATCGCTGCAGGTCAAAACACATCAGATTAATAAAGCAGCTCTTTCTGCTTCACTTCCTCTTTTTTCAGGTGCGATAACAACCGCAGAGGCTCTGTCTTTAAAAAAAAAAAAAAGCAGCAGTGGTGATAATGATCACTGGTGCAGGAAAGAGGAAGCTAAACTAAATCTGACTTCATTCTGTTAAAGCAACAATGTAGAAGTCAATGCACTGGTTGAGTCAACCTGACAAAAAAAAAACAAGTGCGCTTTCAAGGCCAGCAGGGCTTCCATCAGTTTACACAGCAAAGACCAAAAACTACAGCTGAAACAACAAGTCAATGAATGGATTGGCTGCTGGACAGGAAACGATAATAGATCTGAAGTTACTATCTTACATCACTCACTGTTTCAAACTTGTAATCACTTTCATGGACGTTTGGAAAGGCCCTGACGCGAATTAAATTCAAAACAAATGTCAACAACAAAATGTGAAAACTTCAGGTGACGTTCCCATTTACTGCAAGATGATGAAGCATACAGATTACCGTTATGGTGAGGTGAAAAGCTTTCCAGATCTCTAACCGCTGCTGTGATTAAACAATGAGTGTGACCCACATTTTGGTAGTTACAGTAAGAATTGTTTGTTCCGACAACTGCCAGCTAACTTCCTGTTTACCTATGACCTATAAACACCTGAAAAATTAACCAACACAAGCTATTATCACCATCTAGTGTCCAACTTAAATACATGAATAAATATCTATACAGAATGATAGACGGGGATGACAAACAATGACACACATTCAAATTTCTCTCATACAAGATCAATAATTTAAGACGCTTTTGGGGCAGAAACTACACTGGCTCAAGCCTCTGAAATGTGAGATTTGCTCTTCTTAACAGGATTGTAAACATCACATCTTTGTGTTTTTGAGAGTTTTTTAAAAAAGCAGGATATTTGAGATCTTCACCCTGGGCTCAGGGAGCTTATGATGACGATTTTTCTGACATTTTTTGGACAAAAGAGGAAAACGGGGAGGATAGGGAGATAAAGTCAAGTCAGAGATTTTACAACCAAAGGGGGAGTAAAAAAAATCATGACTCATAATGCCAAGAAAATAAGAAATACTTAGTGAATAACTGTGTTGTTATTGTTGTAAGCCGACTTATGAAACAATCTCACCACATGCTCAAGGACAGCTGAGAAATAATGTTATGGTGGGAATGTTTGAGGCAATATCAAAAATGAAGTTTGTCTTTCTACTTGTAGGATACAGCCTAACGTTATGGTACTGAAAATTATTATTAAATTATCTTCAAGTTACAGTATATGCAGGGTATTTGAGGATGATATTAAGAAAGTAATTGCAAAGTATTGCAGCATAAAAAGTACTTTACAGCCTTCAGCTTTGCCTCCTTTCATACTGCTTACAATCTCGACTAATAAGACAGGAAAGAAGACTACGCGGTCTGACAGTCGAAACCCAGGGTAAAGTCACAAGTCACTTTCCAAAGCACTTCACATATAGGAGATGTGGGCTCATTTATTTTCACAAAGCACAATGTTGAAGAGGCCAAGTGCCTGGGAGAAAACTGAGCTCTGATCTAATGCACTAAATGTGGGAAACAAGCTGTGAAATACATCCTGCTGTGTTTCTTTGAATATTTAATATCCCCAAAATCCCTCAAATCTTCTCAAACGTGCTTGATGTCCCAGAAATGACACAAGCAGATCACAAAAAAAAAAAGCATTAGTTGCCCCAAGCAGAGAAAGCAAGGAGGGGAGAGTTCAGGCTCAGTTTGATGTTACAAGCCAGCACATTTAAGTTTGACGCAAGTTTGAGCAAAACAGAAACAACCAAACTCCAAATCTGATCTTCTCAGAGAGGATTATGATTGTAGTGGCAACTTTACAAAGAACACAGGGATTAAAACACACTTTCCTTTAAAACGATAGTTTCACGCCCCGTCTTCAAGGTTATGGTAATGATTTTCACAGTGACAGCAGCTGTGGACGGTTGCTGCTTCCTTTCTGGGTCAGAAGGCACCAGGAAGGGAAATAAAAACCCTTCACAGAGCTTTCTCAGCAGAAAACTCACATAGTGGAAAACAAGAGCTTCATTATAAACCGGCATAAAACTGGCCTAAAGCTACATTCCTACACAGCCTTGTGATTCACTAGGCTCCTTAAAAACACAGAGAGACCCCGCGACTTAACTCTGCAGCTGAGGAGAAAAAAATAGTTGGTTCATATATGAGTTGGCGGTACAACCCACACAGTGGCTTTATAACTTGATAAAAACCTGGAGAGTGACGATAATCAAATCCATGAAACACAGATAGTCATTCAGGCATTTTACCACACGCAGGTGCATTAGGTAAATACACACACTTGTATATTTAAATGAGAGGAAAGGTATGCTTTGTGATGGCCATATGTTACACTAAAATAACCAACATTGGAAGAATTTGTTGCGAAATAAATCAACTAACTGGGCTAATTCACATCTTAAGTGAATTTAGTTTCTGGATAATTGATTACAGTTTGACATTTTAAAGACTTAATAAGTGGAAAATGGAAATTACTAACTCTGTGAAAGGTCAGATAAGCTATCCAATCTCTAAGGTAAACAATTTACTCTCATAGAAGATTCAAATTAACGTAAAGTAAACAGTAAATATTCAATTTCTTAATATATAAGACCAGGAGAGTCCTCGAATACTTACAAATAAGAAGCAAACATCAGAGACTTCTTGACATTTTGATGGAAAATAAGTACTCACAGATGTCCCTGATAGTTTGTTGTTGTTCCAGTTATTGTTCTTAATTCTTATTCTTAGTTATTTTCATGGATCTGCTTGTCTGTGTCTGCTTTACTGTTAGCTGTCACACATCTGTGTTGCTGCCCGTCTATATGTCTATTTCACTGTTTCATTTGTGTCGTTTTCTTAAAGCCTAACCAGGGACCAGGACTGCAAATCAGCCATGGCTAAAACTCCTATATACATACACTGCATCTGTTGTACTTTTAATTAGATGTAACAATGCCTACAAATATTTTCCCTAACAACTAACCTGATAAATAAATAAACAAAATGCTTCTTCATCAGCTGATTAATTAAACATCTCCTTGTTTCAGCTCTGTAAGTTAATCTGACAATTATGATAAACAAATAAAAAACCACATGGAAGATTTAGGTTGGAAAAACCATCTTAAATATTGTAAATTAAAGTGTCTGTGTGCAGAATATGTTATCTTCATATATACGCCCATGTTCAATAGACTTTAAGGTATATTTCCTCCACCTGGGTGCAGTATATTTAGCCCAGATCACTGATCACGCAAGAATAAGGACTGTGAACATCTAGAAGGGCAAAAATCAATAAGTTATCTTAAGAAATAATATGCTTTAACACATGATGTTGTGCTGCTCAGCCAGGAAGTACTTCACCCCACACCTCACAGTGCAACACAAGTGTGCAATATTAACCTTAAAAACAAGAAAACAGTGCAATTATATAATGTGAAAAATATGTGTGCAATAACCTCAGGTGCAATAAGAGATGTAGAAAACATATTTATATTTTCATTTCATTGTACAGTGTTCCCCTTTGTTATTTTTTTGTATTATATCTTTGCTTTAATACAGTTTATAACTTCTGTACAGTTTATTTTAAATCACTTAGCTGTGACTACAACTTATTTATTTTAACTTTTCTACTCTTTTTTTCTGCTATTCTATTTTATATATAATTTTAATTTTAATTTTAACTTTTTTTTGTAGACTAAATAAGAGTAAGAATCCCAATGTACCTGTGCTGTACCTGTGCTGTACCTGTGCACGTGACAATAACCATCTATTCTATTATAAACACCAGCAGCAAGCTAACCCTGAATGTCAACAGGACAATTAACCAACTGAAACAAACACTTGACATCTATGTGACACATGTCAATACCTCACATCTCACTAAAACCTCAACAGTTACCTCAGTTAGTCAGTATTTAGATTACCTGGTTAGCAACAGCTACAAGCAAACACCTTTAACTTCACCCAAACAGCCTGTTAGCCGGTTACTGCCAGGGGGCTAAACGGTTACTAACCGACCATATGTTACTGTAAAGTGGATAAAACACACATTATATTCTATCTTAAATACCTCTAAACATGTTTAATGACTTACATCTTTATGTCACTTTAAGTGCTGTTAGCTAACCTGAGATTTACCCGTTAAGGCCAGCTGTAAAGCAGGTAATGCTAATGAAGCTAAGCTAACCTATAAAGACAGCTGACAGCCCTGCAGACAGGAATCAAAACATTCACGATTAAAACATAATAATGGTGTTTTTTTGAGCACCCATATTGAAGACTCACTTGTGTTACAGCCTCCGTGTTGCCCTCAGTGGAAACATAAGTTGAGGAAAGCCGAGCAGGAGGGTCGACAGGGAGTTAAAGGGAATAAGCCCGGTAGCTTCAGTTCAAGCTGTTAAAGGGGAGTTCAGTTTACTGTTGAGCCGACCGCGTCGCTGCGTGACCGGCAGCTTCACGCATGCGCAGCTCGCCGAACCCCCTTTAAAAAAACATGCAAATAATAAACAACGCACGAATCACCAAGAGGGGGGGTCCAGAGATGCCTACCAGAAAGCTAATACAATTTAAAATTGTATATTTTACTAATTATTGTGGAATATACAAAAAAAAGTTATTCCGTTTTTAATTTTTTAAGTAAAATCAGAATTAAATTAATGTAAATACTTAAAATGCAAGTTTGCAACTAATCTTGTGTTGCCTGGGTTCTTGTGATGGTTCTTATGATGGTTCTTATGATGGTTCTTGTGTTGCCTGGGTTCTTATGATGGTTCTTGTGATGGTTCTTGTGATGGTTCTTGTGATGGTTCTTATGATGGTTCTTATGATGGTTCTTGTGATGGTTCTTATGATGGTTCTTATGATGGTTCTTATGATGGTTCTTGTGTTTCCTGGTTCTTATGATGGTTCTTATGATGGTTCTTGTGATGGTTCTTATGATGGTTCTTATGATGGTTCTTATGATGGTTCTTATGATGGTTCTTATGATGGTTCTTGTGTTTCCTGGGTTCTTATGATGGTTCTTATGATGGTTCTTATGATGGTTCTTATGATGGTTCTTATGATGGTTCTTGTGTTTCCTGGGTTCTTATGATGGTTCTTATGATGGTTCTTATGATGGTTCTTGTGATGGTTCTTATGATGGTTCTTATGATGGTTCTTGTGATGGTTCTTGTGATGGTTCTTATGATGGTTCTTGTGATGGTTCTTATGATGGTTCTTATGATGGTTCTTATGATGGTTCTTGTGATGGTTCTTATGATGGTTCTTATGATGGTTCTTGTGATGGTTCTTATGATGTTCTTATGATGGTTCTTGTGTTTCCTGGGTTCTTATGATGGTTCTTATGATGGTTCTTGTGATGGTTCTTGTGATGGTTCTTATGATGGTTCTTATGATGGTTCTTGTAATGGTTCTTATGATGGTTCTTATGATGGTTCTTATGATGGTTCTTGTGTTTCCTGGGTTCTTATGATGGTTCTTATGATGGTTCTTGTGATGGTTCTTATGATGGTTCTTATGATGGTTCTTATGATGGTTCTTGTGATGGTTCTTATGATGGTTCTTGTGATGGTTCTTGTGTTTCCTGGGTTCTTATGATGGTTCTTATGATGGTTCTTGTGATGGTTCTTGTGATGGTTCTTATGATGGTTCTTGTGATGGTTCTTATGATGGTTCTTGTGATGGTTCTTATGATGGTTCTGATGGTTCTTGTGTTGCCTGGGTTCTTATGATGGTTCTTATGATGGTTCTTGTGATGGTTCTTATGATGGTTCTTATGATGGTTCTTGTGATGGTTCTTATGATGGTTCTTGTGTTGCCTGGGTTCTTATGATGGTTCTTGTGATGGTTCTTGTGATGGTTCTTGTGATGGTTCTTATGATGGTTCTTATGATGGTTCTTGTGATGGTTCTTATGATGGTTCTTATGATGGTTCTTATGATGGTTCTTGTGTTTCCTGGGTTCTTATGATGGTTCTTATGATGGTTCTTGTGATGGTTCTTATGATGGTTCTTATGATGGTTCTTATGATGGTTCTTATGATGGTTCTTGTGTTTCCTGGTTCTTATGATGGTTCTTATGATGGTTCTTATGATGGTTCTTATGATGGTTCTTATGATGGTTCTTGTGTTTCCTGGGTTCTTATGATGGTTCTTATGATGGTTCTTGTGATGGTTCTTATGATGGTTCTTATGATGGTTCTTGTGATGGTTCTTGTGATGGTTCTTATGATGGTTCTTGTGATGTTCTTATGATGGTTCTTATGATGGTTCTTATGATGGTTCTTGTGATGGTTCTTATGATGGTTCTTATGATGGTTCTTGTGATGGTTCTTATGATGGTTCTTATGATGGTTCTTGTGTTTCCTGGGTTCTTATGATGGTTCTTATGATGGTTCTTGTGATGGTTCTTGTGATGGTTCTTATGATGGTTCTTATGATGGTTCTTGTAATGGTTCTTATGATGGTTCTTATGATGGTTCTTATGATGGTTCTTTGTTTCCTGGTTCTTATGATGGTTCTTATGATGGTTCTTGTGATGGTTCTTATGATGGTTCTTATGATGGTTCTTATGATGGTTCTTGTGATGGTTCTTATGATGGTTCTTGTGATGGTTCTTGTGTTTCCTGGTTCTTATGATGGTTCTTATGATGGTTCTTGTGATGGTTCTTGTGATGGTTCTTATGATGGTTCTTGTGATGGTTCTTATGATGGTTCTTGTGATGGTTCTTATGATGGTTCTGATGGTTCTTGTGTTGCCTGGGTTCTTATGATGGTTCTTATGATGGTTCTTGTGATGGTTCTTATGATGGTTCTTATGATGGTTCTTGTGATGGTTCTTATGATGGTTCTTATGATGGTTCTTGTGTTGCCTGGGTTCTTATGATGGTTCTTATGATGGTTCTTATGATGGTTCTTGTGATGGTTCTTGTGATGGTTCTTATGATGGTTCTTATGATGGTTCTTATGATGGTTCTTATGATGGTTCTTGTGTTTCCTGGTTCTTATGATGGTTCTTATGATGGTTCTTGTGATGTTCTGTGATGGTTCTTGTGATGGTTCTTATGATGGTTCTTATGATGGTTCTTGTGATGGTTCTTGTGATGGTTCTTATGATGGTTCTTGTGATGGTTCTTGTGATGGTTCTTATGATGGTTCTTGTGATGGTTCTTGTGATGGTTCTTATGATGGTTCTTGTGATGGTTCTTGTGATGGTTCTTATGATGGTTCTTATGATGGTTCTTGTGTTTCCTGGGTTCTTATGATGGTTCTTGTGATGGTTCTTATGATGGTTCTTATGATGGTTCTTGTGATGGTTCTTATCATGGTTCTTATGATGGTTCTTATGATGGTTCTTGTGATGGTTCTTATGATGGTTCTTGTGATGGTTGGGTTCTATATGTCTGTTGGGTATCGTGCACTTTGGGTTCTTTTCTGTTGAATTGTATTTAATTATTTTTAGTATTTTGCATTTGTTATGTTCTTGTTGTTGTTTATGTTCTTCTGTGTTTGCTTTAGTTTGTTTTTGTTTTTGCTGTTTGTCAAAGCACTTTGTAAACCTGTGTTTTTAAAAGGTGCTATATCAATAAAGTTATTATTATTATTATTTGCACAGAAATATTTACACAGACATATGCACACACCAGTGTGTCTATTTGTTAAGTTTTGTACATCCACTCAGTGCTAAAGTCAATACATGGAAATGACTATATTATTCTGCTTCTAACCTATCTTACAATAAATTGTAAAAAAAATTTAAAAAAGTGTTTTAACTTGTGTGCACAATATATAACTTGTGCATGTGAACGTAACATTGCCATTTTTCTGAGTGAGGATCTCTGGTTTCACAGTAAAACTAACAGACTAAACCCACAATGTATTTGGTTGATTAAAAAGTGACTTGATGTACATTTTAAGAGTAACACTGTAGTTGTGATTACTATTTTTTTTTATAAATGCAATGTAAAGAAATAATTGTGTTATTTGGAATTACTCACCTGCCTTTCTATCCTTGGGCTGTCTGTAGTGAAACAGGAGGCAGCCACACCAGCTTGTAAGTTTCTCCGAGCAGAATCATCAACTTTCTTTCTAATTAGAAGCTAATTTAGAATAAATCTCTCATTAACAGAAAGCTAAATTCAGTAATATGTCCTTGATCCGGGAAAAAAAGCTTCTGAGATCTGAGAGGCAGTGGGGTTCATATGTAATCTCACTCCTCATGTTAACATCACATGAGGAGAGTGTGACGGACCAAGCAAATAATCCCAGCGAAAATAAATACTTCAGTCACATTGCTAACCTTCAGGTCATGGATGTTACAGTGAATGAGCATGAAATCTGTCCTCATCAAAGCGTGTAGCAGTAATAAAATATATTAAGTCATTATCCTTATCTAATTTAAACTGAAGATTTGCTTAACTCATAAAATGTGACAATGAAATTTGTTTTACTGCTGCTATTAAAGACACGTCTCCTCTGTACCAGTAAGTTAAAAAGCCTTTGATTCATGTTGTTTGAACTATTGACCCCTATACTACTTTTTTCCTTCTCAAAGACATGAAGTATGAACACAATGGAAAGAAACAGCACAATCAGCATAAAGGAAGATTAAGTTCTTTTTAAAGTATTTTTTTCTTAAATATTTCCTTTTCCAGAAGTCAAAAAATCACCTCAAATTCTCACATCTTAATGTAGCAGTCATTCTTCAGTTTGAGCTTTTTATTGTATTAAAAGTGTTTCAAAGATTACATTCAGGACTGCACATTAAGATCCAGTAGACTATGACTTCCTGTTTCTATTGCAATGTGAACTCTCAAGACAAAAAACACATCTGGTCCTTAAGTAATTAACATGTAGCCTAATATAATAATAAAAATGGCAATCTTCATCGTCGTCAATTTGCAGCCACAGTGAGTGCTGACAGACTGTGCTTACATCATCAGTATGCGTAAACTTTGACTTTGTTGACTTCATGCTCCGCACATTCCCTTTTCCTGCTGTAATAATAAAATGTGTTGTCTCGACGTTGGAGCTTCTTCACATAGCCCGTCTGTGGCCATTTTTCAACCTGAGACAGAAACAGAAAAGGAGGCGTAAGAACCTTACATGACAAAATTGTCTTTTGACAGTCTGCTATACATTCATTATGTTTTACAGTTTTCCTGAAATGAAAACACATTAAACATATTTTGTAAACACACAGTCACTAACAGCCCTCCATAAATACAACTATTCAAAGTAAAGTATATTTTTGACAAAGAAACGTGGCCTTACGGTGACTCTTCCTCTGAATGACTTGACACAACTTTACAGTTTTTAAACAAAATATTTACCAAGGCCCCTTGTTTGACTTGTATGTACTCCAGTTCATCTCTGTAGCCCGCCTGCTGGAATCTGAACAGGTTTTCCACCTCTGCAGTCCATCCTTTGGCTCTGCTCATGGACTTTGGCTTGGAGATGTTGTAATTAGCAGAGGACATGGTGCTGATGCCAAAAGATGTCAGAAACAAGTCACTGAAAAATTACATAAAATGACAAGAAAATACATAACATTATAATAATAATAATAATATATTGTTTTTTTATAACTTTAGCATGTTTATACTGTGCACTCTAAAGCAGACTTAACCTGCAAAAGTACGTTTTTTCCTTCACATTTGATTTTGTTTCAAAATCAGCAAAGACATTTGTACATTCATATTTGTTGATATGACCCTACCCTAAATGCAACGAAATTTCGTTCTTATCTGCTCTGTAAAGTACAAGTTTGAATGACAATAAAGAAAGTCTAAGTCTAAGTCAATTGTGGATGCAGCGTCCTCTAGCGGTAAAGTCCAGAACTACACCATTTTGACAGCCTTTCCAACAGTAAAAGAGACATTTTACAAAAATAAATGCTACTTGTTGGATCACAATGTATGCCGAACTAAAGAATATACCCTAAAACATAATATAGTCTAATAGAAATTGATATTAAACGTGAACTTTCAAATATATGTGGCAAAACTTCAAAATCGAGTATTATTGAAGTGAGTTACGCTCTACATAGACGGAATCAACCTGTTTTTTTTTTAATAAATCGTCAAATAAGATCACTATAGTTTCTAATTTCCTCACTCTTCTGCCCTTTTCTTATCATAATTGTTTTTTTTAATTACAGACGAAATCTTACTTACATTCGTTTTTAGGATTAGTTGCTTTCCAGACGTCAGTTCGCGTAAGGACGGTAAACAGCTTCTCTTTGGTTGCCTGGTTACCGTGAACCTTCTTCTTCTGCGTTGGAGGACATGATTCAAAAGACGCTTCCAGTAGATGGGTCCTTAACAGCGCGGAACAAAAAGATGACTTAAATATTGGCGAGTCACTTGATAGTTGAAGAGAGTTTGTTGTCCCCCAGTGCAGAGTGAAAAGTAAACATTTCCATAAACGTCCTAGTGTTTTGTTATGAAAGCGGTGCAGATGCATCGTTACAGCAGCAGGTGGCGGTAGCGCGCAGATGCTGCTCTACACTACCGTAATAACAAACGACGAAGAAGAGGAACTGAACTCTGTAGGCGGGACAAGTGAATGCGACAGAGATGTGAACAAAATAAACTCCCTCCGATTTAAATTGCAGTTGTTACATTTTAGACAGACACCGCTCAAAGGGTCCAACTTAAAGATGAGTTCATTTGCAGGCCGAATGAAGGAATATCCCACAATGTCTCTGGATCGTTTCGACCGGGAGAACTTACATGCCCGGGCATATTTCCTCTCCCACTGTCACAAAGGTAAACATTGAAGCTAGCTAGCATCACAAACATATAAACATCAGATACAACTAGAAGTGTAACCTTTGTTTATGTCCTTAACATCATATTATATCTCTAAACAGATCACATGAAAGGACTGAAAGGACCAAAACTGAGGAGAAAGCTGCAGTTCAGGTGAGACAGTTTTGGTTGTTTTGCATTTATATTATTATTAAATTATTATATTATATTATTATTATATAAATATTAGAAGGGACAGTTTCCTATTTATTTATTTATTTATTTATTTATTAATGCTTTATTTCGAACGATTAAAAATAGATAAAAATGAATAAAACAAATGGGGAAAAAAAATCTGTATAAAATAAATAAAATAAAAAGGCCAATTTCGATATAATAAACATTTGACTCGTTCGAAAAGGGATAGGAAGAAGCCCAGGCTTGTCAAGTCCTACCCCCATTCTTTACCATTAACAAATGCAAAATCCAATAAAATAAACTAAACAGACAATACAAAAAAAAATACTCCAATCGAGCTATTAAGAAAAACAAACAAAAAACAAACAAAAAAATAATACAAAATGAACAGACGCCGTTAACATCTGAGATTTACATTCTCTTCCTCATTTCTGTACTTTCAAAGATATGTCTTTTGTACAAAATGGAAATACACATACTTTTTAAATTAGTCCGAGCATAATGCTGTTTCAAGTTTAGTTTCCCTCTAAAGTTATAACCCCCCTCTCTGTCTCTGAACACTTTTTGTGTGTTTACAGGTAGCAGTTTATTTTTTCTTTATACATTATTTGTGCAGTCTTAATTCTACCAGATAGGAAGGCAGTCATGGTGAACATGTTTTACTATAAACATAAGTAACACAACATGGGCTCCTTTAGCTGTTAAACAGACGTGAGCTACAGTTTAAATACTCAAAAGAAACATTTCAGTAGTCCATGAATAGAATAAAATAGAATAGAATGACTTTATTGATCCCAAACTGGGAAATTGTGGCGTTACAGCAGCAGGTTGTCCAAACACACAATATGAGTAAAAAAAACAATATTAGCAAATTTAAACATAATATAATATTAAATACAAAGTAAATAAGCACTAAAAATATCAAAACTAAGAATGTGAATATATACAACCAGGATTTAACTGAGCATTACTAGTCTTAAATATGAAAGATTAAATGTAAATGTGCAAAAACAGAGTAGTAAATGGACAGTATTGACATAGGGAGATGTTCAATCAGTGATACACAAGTATCATAATGTCTGGTCAGCCACAATTTGACCTGCATTCCTCAGAGAAAAAAAATTGCAATAACCAATAATATCTGGTGCAGCAGACTGAATAAATACAATCTGAACATTATTCAACGTTTTTTTAATATTCTTCATGTATAACTGTTTGCTCATGTACAGTAAAATACCTCAAATAAAAAGTCTCTTAACTTGAAACAAGAAACTAACTGAATGACTTAAACTGTGCTTCTCTTTGGTTTTAGTCGCACAGTCAGGCTGTACTGCTCATTTGTGACCAAAGAACTTCTGCTGAACAGTCCCAAGTATGCTTTCTGGAAGGATTACATTGTAAGTATGACAGAGAGCCAGAGAGAACCCTGAACACAGAGATATGTGTACAATGTTAACGATCACAGCATTAAATTAAGTGCATCCTTATTTTTGATTCAACATAATTCACTTATTATGAATTTCGAGTGTTTTGTTTTGTGATATGTTTTTTTTTTAATTCAGATACTTCGAGGCTGTAGGTCGGACATGCAAGTAAAATGTTTAAAACTTTTTGTGTCTTTCTCTCCTGGTGGATGATCCATCGTAGGTTGCATTGGAGCTGGAGAGCCCTACGCAGATATCTCTGGTTGACGAGGCATCTGGAGAGGTAACACAAAACGTCTCCTACTGTTCCCTCAGTTTAGATCAGTCCAGCCAGTCACACTAAATGTGTCTGTTGCACCTCAGTTTCAAGATTGTGAAAATCTATCCTGTTTGTTATTTGTTGACAGAAAGAAGATATTGTGGTCACATTGCTCCCTGCAGGCCACTGTCCCGGCTCTGTAATGTTAGTGAAACCATTTTAATATTTCATGATTTTCTATATCTAAATGTATGTTTCATAACACGTCATACAGCCTTTTCTGTCTGTTGCTGTCGATGATGTCCTTGAGGAGCCGTTTCACTTTGGATTTAAACTTTAAGATGAAATATGACATTTTGTGTGTCTGTACTTAGGTTCCTGTTCGAGGGTTCTCGGGGAAACGTTCTGTACACGGGAGACTTCAGGTTGGCCGCCGGAGACGTCCCGAGGATGGAACATCTGCACTCTGGCAGCAGGTTGGTCCCAAAGCTCATCTTTACTGATTTCTCTCTCATTTGTTGATTTAAATTTTGTCTAAACAAAAGGTTGTGTGCTCCATGAGTGTCATCGTGGTTTGCATTTCTGATGCTGTGAATGTTTGACTTACAGAGTGAAGGACATTCAGAGTGTTTATCTGGACTCTACGTTCTACGACCCACGATACTACCAGATTCCTACTCGGGTACGTTTGAGGGATGGGAACATCTTCGTATTAAAGCATGTGGTTTACAACAAGATGGAAGTTAAAATGAAACACCAGAAAATGTTGTCGGTAGATGAAAATGTACTGGACGATATGAAGGAAATATTCTGTGATTTCAGGTTGTGAGATGTGACGTTTTTGCGGCTTGAAGAAAAAACTACAATCTTAAACCACAAAATCCTGTTAGCACGGTTGTGACATCATCATATACAATCAGAATATGTATCCATCCATGTTAATGTGTTTATTTGCAGGAGGTGTGTTTGAGCGGCATCTTGGAGCTCGTGGGGAACTGGATCGCTCAGAGTCCGTATCATGTTGTGTGGCTGAACTGTAAAGCTGCGTATGGATATGAATACCTGTTTACTAACCTGGGAGAGGAGTTCAACACACAGGTGACACAAACTATGTGGCTACACACACAACATGTCCTTCTGTGTACCAACTGTGATAACGTCTTGTTAAACATCTCCTGTTTCTTTACTCTCAGATCCACGTCAGGAGTCTGGAAATGTTCAAGAAGATGCCGGAGATCCTGAGCTACGTGACGACTGACAGGAGGACGCAGATTCATGCCTGTCGACACCCAAAGGTCCCATTTTATGACACGCGCACACACACACACACACACACACACACACACACACACACACACACACACACACAACACATAATTTATATAAAATCTAATGTGTGTGTGTGTGTGTGTGTGTGTGTGTGTGTGTGTGTGTGTGTGTGTGTAGGCCGAGGAGTTTTTCCAGGGCAACAGGCTGCCGTGCGGCTGCTTAGCCTCCGACGGGACTCCTCTCCGTATCATCAGCATCAAACCTTCCACCATGTGGTTTGGAGAGAGGATGAGGAAAACCAACGTAATTGTAAAGTAAATTATTTAGAAACTGAAGGAATAACACGTTATCATAAATTTAAACTAAGTTTGGTTTGTGAGAGCGGAGTGTGACTGCTCTCTTCTTTTTTCTTCTTTTTTTTTTTCCAGAACAGGAGCCAGTTCCTTCAGAGCCTGCTTCAGTTTCCACTCGTCCTACGCAGAGGTTTCTATCATTGTTTTTTCAAATAATCCTGTCTCTCTTCAGCGGTCTTTTCTGATAATGGAAATAATAAAAAAAAAAAGGCCAAACAAATCCGGATCATTCAGGACCAGAATCTAAACTTACATTCAGTAGATATCGTACTGTTTGTTTCTTTACATTATCAGGTACTGCAGAAGCATTTGTGACAAGAAGATCTGATTTTAATTGTCTTTGTTCATCGACTCCTCTGTAGGACAAATGTTTTGATGCTCACAATGTTTCTCAAATTATTTCAGCTAAAAGATTTCCTCTCCTACCTGAAACCCGTCAACATCTACCCCAGTGTGATCCCCATGGGCCGGACTCTGAGTCAGGTCACACAGATGTGAGTAAGCTTTGACTCAATTCTCTTCACTACATAAAGTTTTGCAGCCTTAAGTTGATTGAAAAAAATCATCTTAATAGTAATTTATGTTTATTTTACAAAGCAAAACTTGCAGCATCTTAATTCTGAAGAGTAGACTTATTTTGTTTGAACAGGTTGAACCAGATGTGCAGAAACCAATCTGATCATGCAGCAACCGTATACAAACCTCTGGGAGTCCTCAAACGCAGCATGGTGCTGCGACCTACATTTGGTGAGACAAACATACACCTCCAGGTGTTCAGCCAAAAAAAACACCTCTTACTGCCTCGGTAGCTGTTGATGCTTCTTACGAGTTCAACATGAGAAGTTAGACCAGAAAGAAGCCGGATAACTTTCTGAGTTTCAATATTTTTGTAACGATTACTTGAATAGGTTTGGAGAAGAAGCTGTGTTTGCACCATGCACAAAGGTTGTACAGTTTTGTGTAACTAAAAAACATTTGAAAGATGATGTTGAGGATGAATTTAATGCTTTGAGATGATTGAAATATGCAAAGTGGATCATTGGTGTTAAAGCAAAGCAGTCCAAAAAAACAAGCTGAGTTCAAACATTTCAAAGAGATGCACCACAAAAAAACCAAACCCTCATTTTGAAAGCAGAACAGGTTAGACTGAATATCCAGCCTGCACATCTGACGGCTCCTCTCCTGCTTTTTAAGACCTTGATTCCTCTGAGGTAAGGACCTTGTCCTCGTGGATGGAGAGCTCCTCGCTCTACAGCTCGGTCACAGTAGGTCGCTCTCTGTCGAATGAGCTGCACGAACATTAACACAGCTGCAGCAGATGTTCAGTTTGGCGTTTGGGTCGGGTTGTTTGTGACGCATTTTGTTAAGGACTAACTTTGCCTTTTATAAAAGTATTTTTACAAACTTGTTGGAAAACAAACGTGTATGTGCTGCATTATGTTTTTGTGTGTTTGAATCTGTACGGTTGATTTTGTATGCTAACTTGTTCGCTATTATCTTGTAAGGGCTTTATTATAGGGTTATCCCGATTTACAGATTTTTAAACCTTGATAGGCTACTGGTAAATTGCTACCTGTTTGCTACCATGGTAACAAGAAATATACGTCCTAGGCATCAAGTTGTGAATTATTTCTTGTTTTTCTTACACTAGTTATACCAGCTGTTTGTCATGGGCATGAATAACCACAAAGACCTAACAAGCAACCTTTGACCTACAACAAACCTCCTCACTTTCTTCTCTTAAACGTTCTCTGATTGCTCCTCATGGTTTATGGTTTAATCCTGAACTGTTCATCTGACACATTTCTAAGATTATTATATAATAAGTCCCTTTAAGTGTTTTACGATTTAGAGTAAATGATGTAGGATGTCCAGGACAGTGATGAACACCAAAACCAAAAAATGAGATTTGAAATGTAAAATATTCCAGATGTACCGTCAATGATCGATATCGGCTTTCTGGATTTATCGGTCTGTTTGTGTCTGTTCAGATTCAGACAGCGATGACGAACTCTTTGATGGCCTCGACTTGGCGCCAGTGAGGAAGAAGATGGGGCTGGATCAGGAAATACACGAAGGTTCAGAACTACTTCACCATCATTTTCTGTCTTTTTTTAGGTGTTTTTTAAGTTGTTAACTTCCTTTTTGTTTTATCTGTTCCTAGTGAAAGGGCAGAGTCCTCAGAAAACAGCGCCCCCTGCTTCCATGGAGGAGTCATTACCTCAGACGGTCACACAAGCTGTCGCAGGCAACTATGTGGACTGCACCGAGTCCAATGATGAAGATGAGGATTATGAGGAGGAGGAGGGGGAGGGGGAGAACGAGGGAGCAGGGGATGAAACTCTAATAATGGAGGAGGGAGAAAAGACAATGAAGGAAAACGAGAGAAATGAAGAAACGGAGAAAAATAAGCTCAAGGTGGAAGAGCGCGATCCCTCTGCTCTGCCGACATGGGATGACTTCTTCACCGTGGAGACGCTACCTGACAGCCAGAGCAGCCTCAGCAGCCAATTACAATCCTGCTGCTCTGTCCCAAGCCCCGCCCCTTCCCGAATGACGGGCTCACAGACCCCTGAGCTGTTCAGCGAAGAGGAGGAAACCCCGAACAACGACGAAAACTTCAGCCTGACCCTGTCCGCCTCTCTGTCCAATCATTCCTCCCAGAACCTGGACTCGTATTTACCCGACACCGTCATCCTTCGTCCAGAGCGGGAACAACTGGAAGACCCAAGGACCAAAACTGTGTCTTTGGAGGAAACAAACAACGACCTAAACATTCAGTCAGAGCCCGAGGAGCTCTCAGGGTCTCAGGTGTCGTCGGACTTTGACATTCCCTGCACGCCCGAGTCGAAGACGCCCCGGCCTGATGAGCTGTCGCAGCTGTACAGGAAGCTGGCGTCAGGAGAGGAAGTGGTCATCAGACAGAGGGATTGAGGAAAAGAAGCAAAGCTCACCAAAAAAACCGTTAACATTCTAGTTTGTCTACATTGTGTCCTACTGGACGTTGAAAGCGAGCTGAGGGTCAGATTGAATTAGCTCAGATTGTAAATAAATTACAGTTAGAAAGACATTTTCTAAATCAGTCACACTGAGCACTTTAAGTCCACGAGAGGTTTGATGAACTCCATGCAGCTCCACGGCTTTGAACACACACACATCTTTATACAGGATTTTTGACATTTGATGAGCTTTATAACATTTATGTGAAGCACTCCGGTTTTATGGATTCAAATTTCAGCAGAAAAATACGTTTTCCCCAAATTCAACCGAGTTAGTTTTGCTGCCTGCATTTCTTTTACGCCTCACCTTGATGCTTCATTATACCTGAATGAGATGTCACAAACAAACACAAAATGAGCTTCTACATAAACACATATATACATTCCCTAACACCTCGTGTGCCTTACAAGTGAAACCTCTAATCTACACCTTCAGTTTAACCTCCCAACCACACAAACCTCAGGATGTACACACACACAATTCATTTCAGTGTACGTTAGTGTCACGGTGCCATACATATTTTAGTGCACCTGCACACTTTAACCTCCTTCCTGTCTGTCGACCGTTTGCTGTTTGTTCTGCTGAAGACGTGCTCTTTGTGGAGAACGATGAACTTTTGTTATGAATAATATATATTCAATTAAAAACAGAGAAGGTTTATATTCAAGCGCAAAGAGTTGAATGATTAAAATGATTTCTAAACCCCCAATTCCAACATAGTC